TCTCCTCGAAGTAATCCAGAAACGTGGGTTTACTCGCACACAGTTTCCTCAATGCCGACAGGTAATCATCGAAAAGACTCTCATTCTCCGCACGAACCATCAACGTCAGGGTATTTTTCACGTGCATCTTCTCAAAACTGGAGAACCCATAGTCTGTCTTGCTCACCGCTCGCTGGAGATAGTCAATAACGTGAAAGTGGCAGAGGATGATAGTCGCACAAGGAAATTCATCGCGCAGCAGCGCCAGTTCCGTGAAATCCTTGTCAATGACGATAACCTTCACATTCTTCCACTCTGTGTTGTTCTGCTTGAAAGCTCTTACTGCGCACTCCATGTTCAACCTACTCTCTCCGTCCACTAGAGAATGTTGCGCAAAAGCTCCACACCCGAACTTGTCCGTAATCATGAAACTGAACAACCGATATCTGTAGAATGATCAGAAGGTGTATTAGTATTAGCTGGTAAATCACTCACAACTTCTACGATACCGATGTGCTGGTGACCACAACACCAACGTATTGGTAAATGCAACTCCAGTTCATACGACGTACCGATTGATGTTGGTTCCGTAGGTCGCATCGACGCAGACAGCCTCCGGAAACTTGCGCATCATCCGTCGCATGTGGGCCGTCTGGAATGTAATGCACGTTGTAAGCCCCGTAGATTTATCGCGAAAGACGTTGACAGCGTTGCCAGGCCCCTCACTAAAGTCTTGAAGCACTTGAGCCACGCGCACGTTGTCGTCCTCAGAAGTGTAAATCTCCTTACGCGTCTTAGCAATGAGATTCTCGACATCCTTGCGTAGAACAACCTTTCCCGAGACCTCCTTGAGATAGCGCATAATCTTCTTCTTCTTAGAACCGCCTAAGACAATTGAAAACGGTTCGGAACGATTATAGCTAACAGGGATATAGAGAATCGTTACCTTGCATCATCGTCCTGACGACACGTTGCGTGCCTGGCGAAGTAATTTTTCGGGCTTCTGCGTAGGTATAGTAGACGTCTCGACCGACGTCGTGGTTGTGAGTGGCCACGTGCTTGGTGACCCGAACTTTGTAATTCTCGTTTCCTTCCTTGATAAGAACGGCAGTCAGCTTTGCAGGGCAGTCGATGGAACGGATGTTGTGGTTGGCTCTCGCTCCTTTCCCCCTGGGATTGAATCTCCACCCGTGCGTGCAAATAAGCGTTTTCGTTTAGAGCTGTAGCGACTCGTCAAAAATAACGGGAGAAGTCCCGCGGCGCAAGGCTACAGCTCGACGCTGTTTGTTGCGATCGCCCACGGAGTTGGTGGAGCGAATCTTGTACAGTTGATGCGTCTCTTCCTGGTACCTATCAATTAAATAAATATGAGTTTTTATCTCATATAAGAGAATTTGTAAGCATTACCTCTTTAGCTCCTCGTGGAATGCGTCCTAGGACTTAGATTCCCCGCTAAAGGGGGGGGGGAGAGACGCTGACGCCTTCGATATCCTCGGCATCATTTCCGCTGTTGTGGTCGCTGTCGCTGACATGGGCACGCTTCTTCGTCTTCCGTGACGGCATCGCTTGCTGGTGAGTGCTGGTGCTGGAAGTGTAGAGAGGGGGATTTTGAAACTGAGTGGCCAGCAAAATCTCTAAATTCTTAAAAATCTCAAAATGAGATACCCTTACCCCGGTATTCCGGTAACCAAACCCTGGCCGTTTTCGTAGCAATTGTACTGGTGAACGTGACTGCAATCCCCCGCAACATGTAGTCTGGACTGGAAATATCATGTATAGCAGGTTACCATGTTTATTAGGGATAGGTGCTCAGGAGACAATGTAATACTACTGTAGGTACCTTGAGTCGTCGAACGACGGTATCGACATCGTCGGGGTGATCCTCCGTACATTTAACTGGATTGAGTGTCGCTGTCAGGGAGCTCTGTCTACAACACTACGCGTAGTGTACAAGTACCCGTATGCAAGAAATACAATACTGTACCTATTAATAATACAACATGTATTAGAGAACTGAAGTTTCTGGAGTTATCCGATGGTTGCGGAGCTAATCGAGGGTTGCGACCCAGTAGAGTTAAGTATTGGAGCATCTCAAGATATCTACACAGAAATCTATAGTTGGCTAATTTGTTTTTGCTCAGGCATTATTTAGTCCCAGAAACTGCAGCTCTCTATTTTAATAGAAAACTGGAGTGAGGTCCTGCTCGACCTAAACTTTTAAAAATATTAATAGCGTGCGGTGTATTGTGCTATCAGTATTAAGACCTCTGACTAAACTGTAATAGCGATCTTTAGCGAGCCTGTCCTGTCCCGCCAAGTATCTACTCGCTGTGTTCGGCCTAAACTTGCATAGAGAGCCCCGCTTGCAGCACTCCGCTTCAAATATAATGCCTCTTCAACGGAATCAGTTCTCGAGAGTCTGCTGTTCGGGAAGAGATCCCAGCGAGTCCTTTGTTTTCTTAAGCTACTGGTACAGAAGCTGGGCTGGTTTCAAGAAAAACCTTAAACGAGAGACAACCTAGTTTGTAAGTCCCACAGATACGGAAGTGCAGCTTAAGTCTGTAAGGTTCCAACACTCGCACCGAGTATTGACTCAATAATTCAGTGATCTCTAGATGCATCTCGAGAATCGCGTTCGAATACATGAATATAGAGCTTGGCGTGACTTGCGCGGCGTTTGCGAAGATAAAGAGCTGGTTGATACGAACCAGAATGATCAGTATTACTACATTACTATGTACTTTAGTAATACCGGTACATTGCGAATTTCAGAGACGTTTGAAGCATCGGATGAGCAGCGTACCAGTTGTACGTTCTGTTCTGCAGTGCAACAGCGTCTAGGGCTATCTGCCAGTTGCGGATAGCCCTAGACGCGTAAGCGGGAGCCCCTGCTCGACCGCGGTAGTGCTCAGCGGGAGCGCCAACTGCTCGACCACCGGCTCAATTGACGGGAGCCCCTGCTCGACCGCCATCTCGTTCGTCTGCGGGAGCCCCTGCTCGACCGCCATCTCATTCGTCTGCGGGAGCCCCCTGCTCGACCGCCGTCTCGTACATCTGCGGGAGCCCCTGCTCGACCGCCAGTTGGTCTTCATCCCCGCGGCGCCGCGGGGACTCGTCAGCTAACAGCACTGCGCAAGCCGTGCAGAGAGGGCCATCGCTCACTCTGTGCACAACGTGCGTCGTGGATGACCGGTCCACGACGGTGACGTGAGGCCAATCCTTCTGGGCGACCAGGAGGTGCGTGAACACCTCGCTCTCGGCAACAAGTACTCGGACCGGGACCTCGTTTCGCCTGGCCAAATCGGGGCGCTCATCACGAACCGCTTCGGACGACCGCGTAGACGCAGTCAGTCTCGACGTGA